GTCTCCCAGAGAAACATGAGAGACCAAAAACCTTAATGCCATAATGAAGGAAATAATAGAAGAGAACTTCCCATCACTTCTAAACATAGGAAATAAAATGCCAATTGAAAGAATTCACAAATCACCTCCAGAACAAAAGGGAGAACTTGGACCTAGGGAGGAGGATTTTGAGGCAAAAGAAGGAAACCAGGGGAAGGATATAGACCAGTGGTGGGTGGCATAATTAGGGATATGTTTTTGGGAGTGTGCCCTATCATGTAGCAACGTTATCTATGTTACCTGAATGAATTGGTATTGTTCTGAGAGTGAAGCACAATAGAAAAGGGGAATCTGCAGGGCAAGCTTTGCAGGGCAGTGGCAGAAATAACCTAAAAAGAAGAGTCCAGAATGGGTACCTTGAAAGTTTTGGTTAGATGAGGATTGTTGTTTGTTCTTTGTTTTGGAAGAGGACCAGTGATCTTGACTTGTGGGTAAATTGGATTCAAGTGAAGCAGAATTGCATAAAGTCATCAGCTTCACTCTCTCTTCTAGATTCATTGAGGCCCAGTAGCAAGACAAAAGTAAAAATGACTACCAATGGCTTGGGATGCAGTGGATGATCTTGTCATCTTCAATGTCTGGCCAACCTCTAAGTGCTCCACAGAACCTACTTCAGCCACCTTCATGGCTGGTTGGAACAAATTGTTCTCATCCATCAGTTCCACTGGGGGAAGTCTCCATATGCTTAGGCAAGACATCTCTTAACTCACCAATGAGATTGAGGCCCACCAGTTACCCTCAATGTGATTTAGCTATCTACTGAGATGGTTTACTAGGATGTGGCTGCTGTTCATGCTACAGCTTCTTGGAGCCACAGGTCAGAGTTGAGTGCCAGGTAGACAACAAAAGTAGATGAACAGCTCTGGAAAGGGTTCAGCCAGCCCTCACACCAGAGTACTAGCCCTCCTTGAACACCTCATACAATCCATGAAGATTACACAGAATAGGCAGAAACTAGAGAAGTGAAAGGGTCATGAACCAGAGAATGGGGTTCTAAAGTAGAAAAAAAAGAGAATGGATAATGAAGAGAGTAAGAGAAACTATTTGAAAATGGACACAAAAACGAAATTTTTAAAAAAACCCTAATTAATAGGACTAATTGAAATAGAGGGCTACAGGGAGAATCTACTTGACTAAAATGAAAAAGAGGAGACAAAGAATGAAATAACCAGATAAGAGCAAGAAAGAAAATAGAAACAATAAGCAAAATCCCAAAGGTAAAGAGTTTTTTAAAAAGGAAGTTTTTTTAAAAATTGGAGTGAGGAAAAGAGAGCCAGTGAGAATAGGACCACTTTAAAAAAGCATGAGCAAAAATAACCGTACACTGCATTTACATCACAAGAGGGAAAAATATAATTTGGAAGAATATATATTGGACACAAATGTAGGAAAATATAAACCTAATTCACACAACTTTAAATGTGAATGGATTAAATAACGCAATAAAAATGTTTCTTACAAAAATACATTTAAATAACAAAGATGTGCAAAATAAAACTGAAAGTATAGAAAAAATATTTTTACTATACAGCAAATTAATCCAAAAAATCAGGAATGATCATCATGCAATCTGACAAAACAAAAATACTCAGTAAGTGTTTACTAATGGCTTATATGCTAGGCACTATGCTGCTGAGCTATAGGAATACAAAGAATGACAAAAGCATAATTTCTGCTCTCAAGGAGCTCACATTCTAACAGGGAAGACAACATGCAAAAAAGAAAAAGCACATATAATATCTATGCAGTGTAAATGTAAGGTAATTCCAGATGGAAAGTCACTAGGGTTCACTAATGGAAAAGATACCATATTTGATATTTAGCAATTGTGTAAGATGGAAAACACATAACTCAAAAGCCAGAAGATCTGTGTTTAATATTCTATTACCTACATTAGTTGTTTACTTTGGTTAAGGCACTTAATCTCTTTTATCATATTCCCTCATCTATTTGTAATCTGATACTTGAAGCCATTTTCATAGGATTCTCTTCATTAGTGGAAATTGATTTCAATGATCTATCCATGCCTGGGTAAGAGAAGGAGTTGGTAAGAGCTTGAGGGAAAAGAGATCATGGTTTTCTGACTTCCTAGGAGAATATGTGTGAATCAGACTCTCTTCAGATCCATGAAGGTAAAGGAAGACTCTGGGAAGAGGCTGTCACAAGGAGTCAGTACCTTGATCATGTCCCTATCCTCAGCTAACCACACAAGAGACTTCAGAGAATTTACCTTTGCATGAGATCTAGGATTCTCTCTTGGTTGAGCTGAGATTTCTCACTTCTTATGGGAGAGCTCATTTATTCTGTGTATATTCTAGTATATATTCTCATAAGTATACCTCCTCAGATTTCTGGTTTGCTATGGACTTGGATAAATGAGTTCATTTGCTATGCATGATCATTGTGGAACTGACATTTGGGAAGAGAGTTAAGTTGGAAATATAGCTTGGGATGCTCCTTCCCTATTAAGGAAGAATGATAAGGAGCTCAGCTCAAACCTAAAAATTATTTCACCTAGACTTACAAAATTAAGGGGAAGGTGGAAAGATAGAATTCTAGCCAGATACCCGCTCTTACTAAGAACATAATGGCCAGCTTTCCAGGAATCATAGTTTTCCTTGGGGAAGGATGAAGAAGAGATGACTCTGGCAATAACTATTCATATTTCTCTGAAAACTACCTCTAGACCAAATCGTGTGGGCATACATAGCCTACATAGGACAAAGAATAATTATGTTATTTACCTCACAGTTGTAATAAAATATATAAATTGTGTAGCACTATACAAATAAGAGCTAGCACAATTATTATTAGTATTAGTATCATTAGTATCACAAGTATCATTAGTATCATCACAAGTATCATTAGTAATGATGGGTGATTCTCATATACCTCATTAGAGAGGCAAAATAATAATCCAATGGATAATGACCTGGGTTCAAATCCTCTCTGACAGCATTTTCTATGGTGGTGGGCAAATTCATTTAGCCTCTCTAAACCTCAATTTCCTTACGTGTAAAATATGCTTTTGTCTACCTCACAGGATTGCCAGTGATGAAACTAAAATATGATATTATATATATGTAGAAGACACTAAATGTTAGTTGCCAAGAAAAAGACTTTGGGCTTTTAATGACTATGCCAGTGGGAACCAAGCTCTATCTAGACCTACTAGGCTGGAAGAACTCTTCATATTGTCTAGCAATGGGCTCTGCTTGTGATCCCTGGTCTAGATCAGGTGAGTTTAAAGAGGATCATCAGGAGAGGACTGGATAGAATGCAACTTGGTTGGAGAAAGATTTCACTTCAGGAGTGCGGGACTGTGGTCTTAAAGCCACATGTGGCTTTCTAAATCCTTAAGTGTGGCCTTTTCACTAAATCCAAATTTTACGGAACAAATTCTTAAGGTTCCCCACCCCTATGTCTAAGGAAATGGAGGGAATATATCCAGCATGTTTTCAGATATTAAAATATCCTCAGTATCCCAGACATGACATTCTGCTTCACTCCACTTTAGGCTTCCTTATCTACCTTCATAACTCAACTATTTTATGCCTCCTGAAGGAGAGGTTTTCCAATCCCCCATTGCATCCCTTCCTCCACATGCATGAAGACCCCCCCATTGCTTTCCTTCTAGGAAACTGCCTTCCATTTACACTTTATATATTTTCTATGTACATAATAATTTCTATGATGTTTCCCCTATTAGAACTTCTTGAGGATAGGCACCATATGTTTGCCTTTCTTTGTAACTCCAGGACTTAGCATCAAGCCTGGCACAGGGCAAGCCCTTAATAAATACTCTGGTTGACTGGTTAAAGTCCTGAAAGACAGAAGGGTCTAACAATGGAAAGGGAAACCAGAGTAGTGTGAAAAGAAGAGGATAAAGTAGTAGTGAAATGGAAACATAGTTGCCCTCCTAAAATAGTCAGACCCATAGTAAACCACCCCCAAAATGATATCTGTCTACAATATTTTTTCCAAGTAGCTTTAAAGTAGGAGAACAGAGGGGAGAAGGGAGGCAAGGGAAGAAGGAGGTGAGAATAAATTAACCAGGTTAATAATTTTTTGTTGTTATTCAGTTGTGAACAACTCTTCATGACCCCATTTGGGGTTTTCTTGGCAAAGATGCTGGAGTGGTTTGCCATTTCCTTCTCCAGCTCATTTTATAGATGAGGAAACTAAGGCAAACAGGGTTAAATGATTTGCCCAGGGTCACGCAGCTAATAGATATCTGAGGCTAGATTTGAACTCAAGAAGATGAGTCTTCCTGACTCCGGGCCTGGAACTCTACCCACTGAGCCACCTAGTTGCCCTAGCTTACTACTACTCAGAGTTCATTGAAATGGGAAATTTTGAAGCTAGCTTTCACAGAGGTGTGAATTTCTACTTTAACATGACATAAATCAGCAATAACTTTTGCTGCCCTGGGCAGCTGTAAACATTTCCATTAACTTATGCTCTTAAATCAAATCCAAGGGGAAAAAGAAAATAGCAAGGATCTTATCAAAAATATTTTATTTACAAAAAGAATCAATTTTACTATACATCCTATACTGGAAATACATTGAATAATTGCTAAAATAAATACAGGCAATTAATTCAACATTTTTATAGAACGAGAGAATTTGACATTTGAATGTTATCAAATCTTAACTTAGAACATAAATAGTTAAAAAGGTAAAATCAAGTTTCAATCTAGTTTTTTTTTGAATGGCTGTGTTGTTTTCTCATAGGTTCATCAACTGCTAAGCATTCTGTTTTTCAGACAATTGTGAACCTTGAATTAAGACAAACCAGAAGGTAGTGAGCATGTACAGCTCTCTCTACAGCAGAATTTCACGTGGGTGCCCGCATAAAAAGAAAGCGGAAAAGACGGCTAATTCATTAAAACACCCAAATGGTTTCTGCTTTACCACAGGGCTTTTTAATGTCACAATCCAAAGGGTACCTACTCGTTCTATGGGTTCCAAACATGTTTTTAGCCCAAGTCTACACAGCACAAAGTATAGGAAAAGATTTGTAGTGCCAGCCACCAGTCCACCAGTCTGGATAACTGAGGCCCTAAAGTAGAGTGTGTGTGTGTGTGTGTGTGTGTGTGTGTGTGTGTGTGTGTGTATGTTTTGGGGGTGGAGGGAGGGTGGGTACCCAGAATATCCAGTTTGGTTTTCTATATGCCCAGATTCAAGAGATAGGTACTGGTCTTCTCTTTCCCTTGTACTGTGTAGCTATGTCAATATAAGTCAAGAGAGGGAGAGTTCAGGTGATCTGTGTAATTCTGTGTACTTTTGGAGGGAAATCTTCTGATTTGAATTAAACAGGATATTGATCGATAGGCTGCAAGACCACTACATTGTGCCCAACTCTTTTTGATTTTGACCATATGGGGCTGGTTTTACCCTCTGTCTACACAGGCGAAGTCAAGTGGAAGTTGAACAATTATCTATTTGGAAAATCTGTAAGACATGTCAGAAAAGAGCCAAATAATTGCTTTAGCTCTTCACTTCACTTGGTCTGTGTAAATATGGGCTGTAGGTCCAAAGCATATTAAACTCAATCTATTGTGCATTTTTAAACCCACAAAAATACACACATTCTGAACAGTGATGTGTGCCTAGCATTTTCCTTTGAGAACCAGGGTTCCCTTTAACTCAGTTATGACAAAATTGCACTTATTTACCCCTTTGGCCTTGATTTAAAATGATGTATTTTTGATGCATACAAAAATATGATTTTTTTCCTCCATAAAAGTTGGACAATTTTATTAGCCTTTTTGAAATAGAATGGAAATCCAAAGGTAAAAGACTGAAATCTACATTGCCTTCTCATAGAAATAACTATTCAGTTTAAAAGGCAGAGAGAAACGTTTTATTCTTTCTGTCATGAACAGCATCAGCCAACAAAGCTTCACATTTTGGGCAGGTTTGTTTTTTGTCTTTTAAGTATGAATTCTTTTGAAATCTGTCTAAAAAGGAAGTACAGGTGGGTTTTGGCAGAAAAGTAGAATAAAGAATATGCAAAAATTGTGTTGGAAAAGTCATCATACAAAACAAAAACACACAATACAATAGTATAAAAATACAGCCAAGCCATTGGGCTTTCAAATTCTCCTTTGGCATTGTGTTTGGCAAACTAAAACCGAAGACCTTTTCTAAAAATTCTTTTTTTTAAAAATCTATCAAAACAGTCCATAAATTAGGTTGTGAAAGTTGAAAGAACTTTTCCTTGAGATTTCCAATGCTTTTCTTGCTTGAGAACCCACATAAGCATGACTAGTGAGGTATATGAGGCAAAAACACTGTCAGGCGTATGCACAGTAAGGAAAAAAGTGCATAAACGAAGAATTCATCTCATTTTCATAGAAATAACAGGTTAAATCTGAGTTTATCCTTGTTTGATCTATCATTTTACTTTGGCAGAATCAAAATAAACCCATAGAAATTGAATGTTCAAGTCCCAGCAGCAGTGAAGTATTTCCCTTGGTGACATTATCCAATGCCCCCAGCTCCTTACAGTTCCTACAGAAGATGACTAAAGTGTGGTGTGTATGTGTGTGACCGCAAACTTTAAGAAGTCAGCTCATCAGCTCATACATCAAGCACCATGTCATACTGTTGCTCTTTCTTCCGCCTGCCACACTTGCTAATGAGAACCACGTAGAGAGTCAACAGCATAACCCAATAGCATGCATAGACTAATGAACCGATGATAAGAACTGTCTGTTTAGAATCACTAAATTCCTTTTTGGACTCCCTGTAAATGGTGAAAATTACACCGCCCAGAAGGATTGTAAACCAAACGGACACTGGGATGAGTCCTATAAAGTTAACCACAATGGTTTTCCTTCCTGATGTGCCCCACCCTGCCTTGTTTATGGTGGCAATGGCAAAAATCTTTGCTGGGAGCAAACTTGACATGTACAACACCGAATATAAGGACATGAAGACCATGACGATATTCCCTCTTAGGCAGCTGGCAAAGGAAGCCTTGATGAGGCCCACAAACTGGACAGTCAATAGAAAAAGGAGAATATTCCAAATTTTCCCCCGATAGAATAGTTGGATAACTGTGGCAATGAGGAAGAAAGGAAAGAATCCAGTGATAACTGCTTCATAGGTCATCCACAAATGATGTTTATGGAACCACATGGCATTGTACAGCCACTCCCGGAAGTATGATTTGCTCCATCGGGTCTGCTGGTTTAGCCATCTCAGGTACTCTATGGGTGTTTCTGTAAGGCACTTAGATCTGGCAGTATATTTTGTGGCATACCCCAGGCTCAGCACTCGATTAGTCAGATGTCTGTCATCTCCAAAGCTACAGTGGTTGCCCATAAATTCTTGATTGTACCAGTCTTCTACAAATTCATGAAGCAAAGAGTTTCTGTACATTCCTAGGGGTCCACTAATGCACTGTACACAGCCGAAATAGGATTGACAAGCTCTCTCTATATTAAAAGCCATCCAGTATCTCACACTGCTAAGAAATGAGATCCAAGAATCATATTTGTTTAAAATCTGCAAACAAAAAAAAAAGTAGAAAGATTAAGCATTGGTAAAAAGGAATATATCCAGGGCCCAGTGCCCACGCCCAAATCTATTGAGTACTTTTTTTTTCTGCTTCCAGCATTGGTCAGTTTGACAGTCTATCACTTTCCCCCTTCCTAAATTTCTATGCTAATGTCTTCTGATTTTCTTGCTTTTTGAACGTCACAGTAGTGCTTCTTTTGGCAAATGATTCCTTTATCAATCTTTTTTTAATTGATTTTTCTGAGTTCAATCTTTGGTCTCCTATTCTTTCCTCCCTCAACTTTACATACCAGCTTAATACGGAAGTCTGATTCACTCCATGTCTGCCCAACTTCCAACTAATCTTAAAATGCATTGCTGCCTTCTGTCTCCCACACTTTTCCCAGAGGTTGTCACTGTCCATGTAAACGACTTTGTTTCCTGAGAAAGGCAAGATCCTGAAATACCTGTCTCTACATTAAAGATAGACCAACTCTATCAGACTGCTTCAGAGGACTCTCCAATCCATTCCTTTCATCCCTCACTTGGATCATAGATTCTCTCCCTTGTTGACACCTGACTGCCTCCATTTTCTCTCCTGTACATAAGCCTATGGATTCCCTTTCTTATGTGCTTCTATTATTGATGTGAGTTTCCCAAAAATCCTTCTCTGCTCTCCCACTGCTCACTTCCCGTCACCTCCCAAGCTTTCCTTTTGCCCTTTGTTCTGTTCCTGTAAGGAACAGTTCTTTCACTACCTTACATGCAGTTTTCTTTTCTACCCTTCTAATTGTTATTTCCTCTTATTTTTTCATCCTATGAACACTTCCTCCTCTTCTAAAATCCATCAATTTTTTTTCCATTCTGCAAGGACTTATCAAAATTGAGCCCCCATTATTATTTTCTCCTTTATCTCAGGTGTGACATTGGGGTGTCCCAATTGTTTTCTTGTGTACTTCTTTTCATTTTGGAATTCTGTTTTAGCAAAGATTAGGCTTTTTTTCTCTTAAAAGTGTCATTTAGCAAGGTTACATTGCCACTTACCATCATTTATCTGCCTTCATGACATATAAACACATGCAAAATACATTTTCAGAAATGACTGATGTATTGATCTGCTTTGATTTACTATACTTATTAGAGTGATGGGACATATTGTGCAGGGTCAGTTAGTAATACCAATATTGTGATAGATATGCAAAGAAGGGAAAAAAAAGTCCAAAAAGGGAACACAAACAATATAAAATATGTAAAGCAATTTGGAAATTTTAGAGCACTGGTAACAGGTTAGTTATTGGTTATTACTATCTGGTTGAATTCAATGTACGTTTTTAAAAAACTGAATCACATATAACATTTTCTTTTCTTTTTATATGTTAAAATATCTGTTGATTATTAAGTTTATAATAAAAAACTTAAAACATATACATCTATATGTGTATATACACATATTTATATGTCTATGTATATATAGACACAAACACAATCAACTTCTTAGCTTCCTACAGGCAGCCTATATGTCACTGCATGGAATTATTTTGAGCACTGGTCTGAACTTCTGATTTCATTGGTGTAGTAATTTCTGGTGTGGAAACTTCTTCCACAATTACTTTGGCAACTCTTCTGTAACTTAAGAATCTTGGCCTGTTGCCTAGGACACTAAGAGATTAAATAGCCTCTCTGGGTTCACACAGCTAGTACCTGTCAAAGGCAATCCTTGAACCCAGCTCTTCCTGAATTCAAGGCTGGTCTTTCATTCAGTATGCCATGCTGTCTCTCATTTTAGGAGCATTAGTATACATTTAAGTCAAATTATAAGGCATCAGGAAAATTTCTTTTTAAATATGGAATGTTTAAGAATTAATCCATGAAACTCCCAAGAGAATTCAATTTTAAGATGTCCAGAAAGCAGATACTGCATTATAATCTTATTTTATTCAAGTCATATCTCAGGTTATATTCACCTGCACATCACCACCAACACCTCCAACCATAGGATCCTCTTCTAAGACCTTGACCATTTCCACAGATGAGGCTGGGTCAAGCATGGTATCTGAATCACATACCTGCAGAGTGATAGTGGAAAACAAGAGTGAAGGGCAGGAAGGAAACTGGAGAAAGCTCTAAAGACAAGAGTTCAGGCACGTTTGCACTTTGATAAACCATGCTTTGCCCTACTACTTCAAGGCTTCCTGATGAGGTTTTGGATGCCACAGCCCTGGTATCTCAAAGACCCTCCTGTTTTCCACAAGCAAGGCAGTGAGTTTAGTGGCCTGCTGGATGGGATGGCTCAAATCTTGCACTGAGTTATCTCTGATGAAATAACTGCTGGGGATGTGCTGCAAGTACTTATGAAGTCCCAGCATGGGGAAAGCATAGGAAAAGTGTGTGAAATATACTAGTGGTCTTTGCTCCATTTTCTGTGGTACATAGAGATAGCGGAGAATACTTCTGCTAAAGATGGTGACTGGTTCAAGTGTCACTCAAAAAAAAAACCAGATGTTTGACAGGGCAGCAGATAATTCTGTCCTAGATAGAGGATTAAGATTACTGTTCGAACCTCATAATGCCCTACCTGCTTCTGTACTACTCCTAGTATATACTCCTAGTATATCTCCTGATATGAAAGCAGGGTTGTGTCATCATAAGGAGGCTGAGATCTACACTAATGTACCTAAAAGTCTCTGTTCTCATAACAGTTCTTATAGCTGTTCAGATGGCCAGGTCATTATACAAAATGACCTCTCATTAGAAACCTGAGTGTTTCAGATTTCCCAAGCATCCAACCTGATGGCTCTGCCTGGTACATGCCAAGTACTTAATAAATATTTATGAATTGAGCAATTGATTTTAATTTGAAATTCCCAGTCTCAAAAATGTCTCAAATCATCCTGTGAATGGCCATAGTTAGGGACTGGCAAATTTTGTTCTAATGGAAAAAGTAAAAATGATATACCTCTGCCTTATAAACAATCTCTTCAAACACAAGCCCTAAACCTGAGGAGGGGTAAGAAACAAGCCCTGCTTTGATCTCATTCATCTCTACCACTATAAATATAAATATATGTGTGCGTCTATATATGTATGTATACATATAAATGCATATATACTGCATACATATATATTATGTAATATATAATTCTCCTTCATTAATCCCCACCAAAACCAAATTTTGTGTATATGTGTTTATAAAATTTTTATGTGTCATATTATATAATATTACATATAATCATATATTACATATATAATTTGTGTATATGTATGTAGGTATGTATATACATGTATGTGCGTGTATGTGTGTATAGATAGATATAAAATTTATGGTACAGATGAATAAAGGGGAACAGGTTTGTAGGAGTTCTTTCCCCTCCAGTTTTGTAGCTTATGTTTAAAGATAAATGGTTTTAAAATAGAAGCATATCATATGTGTACATGGTTTGGATTATAGTTACATATAAAGGTATGTGTGTCTGTGTGTATATATATGTGCATGTGTAAAATTTGAGAGTGGTGAGGATAAATACACATATGTATAATATATACATAATGTATATACATGTGTGTATTGTTTATACATATGCATATTTACATATGTATACTTGTATGTGCACATAAACACACATATACATGTGCATGAATATACATAGGAGCAGCTACAGATATATGTATATATATGTGTAAATGTGTGTGCGTGTGACTTCTCACTTTATACACATTTTGAAAATAATTGTAAATAGCATAATTTTAAATGAACAAATGACTCATGATAAATCCTTCTGTAAAAATGAGTTCTCATCCAACCTATTTTGGGAATAAATGCAAATGTTCAAATATCAGAACTGCTTGAAGTGTGGTATGCCTACACATTTGGATGGATAACTCTTTGATTTTCTATTTTGAAATACCCCTGTACTCTCTGATTTAAGAAAAGAGAAGTGAAAGTGATAGATAATATTTTAGAGTAGAAAATATAACATGATTACTGGTAACACATTTTCAAGGATGTCTTATACCTCCGATGGCATCCTAAACCTTCTAGTTGAAGGGGGCCCAGGTGGTTTTCCCCAGTCTGGATGGCCACCCTTTCCAAGGGTTGTCAATCACTGGTCACACACTGAGCTACAAGCTGGGTAGAAGCCGGAGGAGGGCAGCAAAAGGTGAAGGCATAGCTCCAAAACCACCGTAAGAATCCAGCATCTGGATGCATTAGTGACACACCCACTGGTATTGACTTAAGCCAGGAAAGGTAAAATTGGGCTAAAATAAGACTAATGACAACAGGAAAGAGCAATCCAAAATTAGTATTCAAATCGCCACTCGAGCTGGGGAATGTGAGCAAGTTAGAACTGCCTCTTTTAAAAAGCTAAATTTGAAAGAAATCTCTGAGGTTCTAAAATGGTTGAATAGCCCCAGACTCCTCCCAGTTTCCAAAAGCAGAGTGCCAAAAATTCTGTGAGAAAGACTGTTCTCATGACTTTTTCAGCCATGAGTGAAAAGTAAAACTGTCAAAAATCCCCTGGGAAAGAGCTTGCCATTAGGAGATTTGGGACTTTGGAAGAAGCTGCTCAACCTCTCATTTTATACCAGTTACCTCAAATTCAACTCACATGTTTGTGTCCAACTATCAGAACTAATCTTTTTATTTGTCCTACTCCCATCTAAAGCCTTTAAGCTTATTACAGAGCCAACCAAACAAATAATTACTCAGATTTATATAGCCCTTTGAGATTGGTAGTTCTTTTGTTATCATCCTCATTTTACAGACCAAGAAACTGAGGTTCAGAAAAACGAATTGCCTAACCAAAGGTTACACAGAAGGCAAGCTTCAGCTGAGATTTGAAACTCGGGTATCCTGATGTCAATTCTCATGGTAACCTCTCAGAAAGAGTGGCATCCTATGACCTGGGTTTCTACGGGTCTGACACTCTTGCCCCAGACAACTCCAAACCTTCATTTATCACTACCTTTAACAGGCTATGAAGATATAGAGCAGGGGTGGGGAACTTGTGGCATCAATGCCACAAACTTCCCACCCCTGATGTATGGCATTGTGTGGGCACAACACAATGGCCTATATCAGATTGCATGCCATCTTGAGGAGGGGAAAGGGGAAGGAGGGGAAGAAAATTTAAAACTCGAAATCTTATAAAAGTGAATGTTGAAAACTAAAAATAAACAAATATTTTTTAAAAATAATAAAAAATGTGATATTGTTTTTGTTTTGTTGTATTTTTATTTTATAAATTATTTCCCAATTAAATTATAATATGTTTTGGGCTTTAGTCAGGAGTCTTGCAGGCCACATTTGACACCTGACCCAGGATATTGCTAAATCTCTGTATTGTGTTCTTATGATATTCCTTTATTATGAAATATTCTATATTCTCCTAATTGAGATAAGTTTAAAAACATGAAAGAAGAAATACAAAATGAAAGAGAAGACTACAGATTAGAACAGATGCAGTCAAATTCCTGCTTCAGAATCAGATGGTACAGCAGATAGGGTGCCGGGCATTCAGTCAGGGAGATGTGAGTTCAGAACTATCTATGTAACCCTTAACTGAGGTCTTCCTCAATTTCCTTAACTATGAAATGGGGATAGTAAGAGCACCTGCCTCAAAGGGTTGTGGTAAGGATCAGTGAAATAATGTTTGTAAGATGTATACTTAGCACCCTGCCAGGCACATAGGACTCTCTTAACAAGTACCCTCTCTTCATTAAAGAGATAAGGCAAACACAAGCCACTACTGTCCCTGTTAATCTAATTGCTCCCCTATGGAGTAGCTACATAATACAGTAGAGTGCCAGGCCTGAAGTCAGGAAGACTCATTTTCCTGAGTTCAAATCTGGCCTCAGATACTTAATAGCTGTGTGACCCTGGGCAAATCACTTAACCCCGTTTGTCTAAGTTTCCCCCTTTGTTAAATGAAGAAGAAAATGACAAAACACACCAGTATCTCTGCCAAGAAAACCCTAAGTAGGGTCACAAAGAGCTGGACATAGCTAAACAACTTTTCTTTATCCTCGTTAATACAGCTGATACTTCTCTCTTTCTCAACTCTCCAAGAGAGAATAGATTTTGAGTCGTTTTCTTAAAAATAAAAAAGCACATTTAAAATTCTGTTTTTAACTGATGGTTATCTTTTTCCACCTTTTTTTAGAAATTAAACTGATTACATTGAAAGACAGTTTTTAAAAAAAAATCACAGACCCCAGTCTAAAAACCCCTAATTTAAATGGCAAACTCTACTAAAACATAATTTGTGCTACCAAATGAGGCCCTAAGACCCAAGTCTAAAGCCTTTCTCAATATTCTAGCTTCCTTTCTTGTTTCCTACTAACTGGCTAACTGACTGGTAGCCTCCTGCTCTCACTTCAAAGGACTGGCTCTAAGGAAATTTCAATTACCCTGATTGACTTCACTGAGGAAACAGGATGGGAATAAATCAATACTGTCTTCCACTGTTGTTCCACAGCCAGCTCTCATACTGGTGATGTCCTAGCACTGCATATTTCAACTTTGACCTTACATCTTAACCCTGGCCAAGGGGGATCACTTAGCTGTAGGCTGGACAAGGAAATTAATTCTTGATCACAGTCACTACAAGTTATACAGACCCTGCAACAGCAACAACATTTATATAGCACTTAATATGTGCCAGGAACTATGCTAAGCACTTTATATTTATAATCTCATTTGAACCTCACAACAACCTAGGAGGTAGGTGCTATTATTATCCCCATTTTACAGATGAGGAAACTGAGACAAACAGGGTAACATAGTCTAAGGACAAATTTGAACTGACTCCAGGCCTAGTGCTTAATCCACTGAGACCAAAAAATTGGTCTAATGGACTTGAAAGAATTTTTCCAGAAGATGCTATTTTTAAGGATGGGGTAAAGATTTATGTTACAATTTGGTGGCTCTCTCTGCAAGGTTTTCCTCTCCAGTCCTGCTAGATTTAGTTGCCTTAACTATGGTCAAATCAGCCCATGATGCTTTTCGTACAGATATCCTGAAGTTTTCATCTGGTCTTCTTTGCTGCTCTTCTTTCAGGAATTAGGA